AAGAAGGCTGCTGAGAAGCGCTGAGCTGTGTGTCGCGGTCAGGGTAGGCTGCTTTCCCTCCGGCGGTGGAGCGAGGTATTGCTCATGGGAAGGATATTCTCAGTCACCAGGCGAAGTCAATGGCCAGAGTGTCATACATCTGCTACTCAGCTTTATCTGGCAGCAAAGGGTATAATCATGCAGGGAATTCATCATGTGCTGCTTGTGAGCCCCGAATTGAGCGATGAAGCCCTATCTAGCTGATCCAAGGGCCTCGCGCCCTTACCCCCTCTTCATCATCGGCCTCCCTAAAAATTCTACACGCCAGGTCTGCCGCTGTAACTGTGATGAGGTTTGAGAAAATAAGCATCCAGTGACCGTTTGATGTCTCTTGCACGTTTGGTATGGATGACGGAAGGCTGTCTCGGTGATCTTCTTGACGTCTCCAATCTGCGTTTAGCACACTGAAACCCGGTTGGGTGGCCTTGCCAAGACAGAGCAGCCGCCGGGATATAAAATATAAGTGGTGTGCCATGTGGGAGACCGGTCTAGATCTAGTCTACTAGTGAAGTGAACCATGATAGAAGGTCGGAAGGGCAAGTCTAGGCTGTTGGGCGATTCTCACATCATCCCTTCATTTTCTTAGTGAAGCGCGTGAGCTTGTTGGTGAGTTGGTCAGGAGCAAGTCGGCAATAGTTACATGTAGCGCTAGGCATAACCTCGTAGAAGAGTAGCACCTTGGAGGTTATCGGTGTCTTGATGTGGCCGTGCGGAGCAGGCCACGAAACCCCCACAGAAAACGGGTCACGCTAGATTCCTAGAAGGGTTTACCGTATAATGAAAATGCATCGGAGCGCATGTAATGTGGCAATAGAGCCGCCTTATGTGTCGCCTTACGAAGTAAGCGTCGCGATAGGAATGTGAACAATACTCTGACACTTCTGGCGCAACTCGGCCGTGCTGCTTTGCATTTAGAGTGTGCTCCAGCCCGCCGCTAGGGGTCCGCCCGGTCAGGATGACCCTGGGGATGCCCAGTGATGCCCCGGTACGCGTATCTGGGCCACCCAGCGTCGACCAGCGCCGACCAGCGTCTAGATCCAGCTCTGTGCGGAATTCCGCTTGTGCCATTTGTGCCTAGCCGACTAGTCCGCTTCGGGGCCGTGTTGAGATTGCCACTACCTCCAACAGTGCGGCGCTGCAGCAGTGCGTCCAGCGCGACTATCAATCGGGTTGCTGACCCGTTCTCCTCGACGTCGCCATTCTCCTATCGGCAAGGCTGGCGCAGTCGGGCTGCCGAGCCCCCGGAGCTACCAGCAATCTACTGCCACGAGAGCGAGCATATGCAGACCAAGATACTGGGAGGGAGCGCACAGCCAAACCGGAGCCAAAGACATAACCAAGGATCGGCAGGATCCGTCCTCCATTTCGCGCCCGCCTAGACCGCTTTGTCGAGCTAATTAGCAGTTTTGCGTGGACAGGCTGGTAGCTGCAAGTTAGTAACTTGGCCAGTGGTTGATGTCGCACCGGCTTGATCCAGCATTGGCCCTGCACGGTCGCTGAAGTTGATATGGTTTTGATTCCGCCCGTCACCCTGCCAGCTTGTTGATTTGGCATTTCAGCTGCGGCCTTTCGAGCCGCCAGGGGAGGGAAAAGCATCAGATAGCAAGAGGAGAAGGCGGGAAGAAAGAAAGCACACGCAACCTGGTCCGGACTCGAAACATTGGCACACTACGCAAAAAAAACACCAACAGCGACTCGACAAGAGGTCGCTATTTTATTTGGCCCCCTTCTTCCGGTCCCGTCCAGTGCCATCCTAGTGCCCTCGAGTGCTGAGGCTGCGGCCAACGAGCTGCTGCAAAAAATAAGCCTGGCCTGCATTACAGCTGCCGTCCGCCATTCGCGATCCTCGTCCAAACCAATCGCACAAAACAGCTACGGCCCAGGCGACGGCATTGTCCACGCACACACCCGCATCGACGACTTCGCATCCCCCCGCGACCCACGAACCGCCTTTTCGTCCTGAGGCGGCCATTTCCGATTTCCGATTTCTGATTTCCATGTAATGCACCGGCCGCAATCCAGGCCTCTCTCTCTTATCGATACCAAGACAGCGCCGACGGCAATCAGGTACCCCTCATCAGCACTGGCGCCCGGAGCCTGGAGCCTGGTCCCCAACAGCGACTCCTCCAAATCGAGCCTGCACCAATCGCCATCGCCATCGCCATCGCCGTCCCCAGCAACACGGCGAGGCCGGCCTCTGTGACAGCTTCATGACCACAGACGCAGCCCCGCCCGTCCCTCCACCCGGCGAAGACGACTACGCCCCGACCGAGCGTTGCGCCCACGCTATCCGGGTGCCGACGGCAGCATGAATCTCGTCAACTCTCCCGCAACCGTGAGGATATCCGGCCCACCCAACAGCAGCTTCCTCGTGGGCTATCCCGGCATATCAGCAACCCTGGTGAGTTTATCGCTCCGTCCCCTCCTCCTTCGCGCTCATGATGACACGCGCGCCTCGTTGCTGACCAAACATCGCGCCCCCCTGCCGCAGCCTCGGATAGTGGGCAAAGTCGAGATACGGCCGGGCGCAGGATACTCGGCACCCGTAAATGTGTCGATGGTGCGCATCTGCCTGCAGAGACGAGAGACGATACACCCGGCCGCCGAAAATGTTGCGAAGCGCCATCTCGGCACCCCGAGGCGCGAGACGGTCGACCTGGTGGGGAAGGAGCAGCTGCTTTTCCGATGTGTGTCGGGCAAGGAGGCTGAGAGTGTGATAGCCATGGACCTGCCCTTCCAGATATTCATTCCCTTTGGGCGAGGCGGAGAAGAAACGAACCGACGCATCCCTCCCGCGAGCTTACAGCTGCCCAGTCGAACCGCCGAGACGTTTTACGAGCTTGTCGTCACCGTCCAGCAAGGACAGAGCATCCAGAACCGATACACGTTCCCGATACCCCTCCAGCGATACGACACGCTCTCCACCTTCGGCATGTATAACCGCCCCGAGAGCAAAGTTGTGACCCAGGACAATGTTGTAACGCTGGGCATATCGCTCCCCAAATGGAGCTATGGCCCATTGGACCCCATAACAGTCTATATCAAACTCGCCCCTAACCCCGACTGGCTGAGCAAGGCGAGGAGGGTAACGATACAAAAAATAACATTAGCCATCGAGGAGGAGATCACATTCAATCCAGAAGGAGACGAACCGACGAAGAAGATCAACAAGATTGCGAAACACACCCAGCCTGTAGGGACTAAGATGCCCGATGCGGGATATGTCACCAATCTAGGGCTTGTCTTTCCGGCGCGAGACCTAAGGGACCAAGACGGCATAGTGAAGAGGGGGAAGCCGGGCTTTCCGTTGTACGAGGTGACGAGTTTTACGACGACATCTACTCTGTACAAGATTGAGTTCTTCTTAAGTATCAAGGTATGTTTGCACCCCACTACGATTGTCTATCCGCCATGCTTATTCGTCCCAGGCACACATGACTTCCGCCCGTGACATCACTCTCCGCCAGCCGATAGTAATATGTCCGATGGACCAACAGGCGTGCAAGGAGGAAATGGATGCCATTGAGCAAGCCGCCAAGGATGCCTCCCACGTCGACCCCAACAGTCGTTCCACCGAGGACACCACCATTATCTTGGCCAGCGAGCGGGAGGCGATACGGCATCTTGGTCTCTGTGAGGTGGGCGGAATAAAGAAGATGCTCATCGAGTAACAGATGATGGTCCAATGTGCGCGGAGATTTTAACACGAGGCCAAGCCCATGGCCCAGCCCTGTTGACCAAAGGTTTGACCCTCGAGCTTTATCGGCTCGGGATTCACGGGAACTAACCGCAATGGGCCGAGGGATCAAGTAGCTCGCACGACGCAACCGAACCGAGCCGGGTAGCACCCGAAACGACATATTCCGGCTTGCTTGCTCAAGACGAGTTGCTTTCAGCTGGTCATACCACACGCCCAGGTGGGTTATTCAGCTTCGAACAGCGAGAGAGAAATCCTCGGGTTCGGAGCAGGTGTCTACGGTTCTGGGCCGACCACGGAGCACCACACGCCCAGAAATGGTCATGTCAGGACAACAAACCACCATCTCCTGCGGAAGCTTGTTTAGCTCTACTTGTGAGGATATTTGGGTGAAGGGTCACGACTGGATAACGAGTGACCAGCTCATGATGCAAGAAAGCATTCTAGGACGGAAAGGAAAATTCTTTGCTGCGTGGAACAGCTGTTTTAGGGAATATAATGTAGCGGGAGGGAGGGTCATTATATCTCTCTCATGAGAGGCGCATCTACAGCGAGGAGGGGAGGGTGGCTGGATTCTTTTGCGGTATTGTGGGTCTTTTTTTATATTATGATCAAAGATGGGCGTTCGTTGGATCGTTTCTGCGGGAGGTTCTAACAAGCCTGGGTTGGGCGAATGGCGGATAGCCGGGATGGATATTTCACAGCGCAAGGGGGAGCCTGGGCATTGGAGGGGATGGGCTGGGTTGCCGCGATGACGAAGGTCAAGCTGGAGCAGTTGGAAGAGATGGATATGATGTCTTGGTCAGATGCGTGAGCAAGTCAAGGGGCGCTCCTGAGTGGTGTAATGGACGCGATTTGTATCATCAGGGAGGACTGTCTGTCGAATCTGAGACGAGTGTTGGCCGTGCTAGCCGCGGGGTGCCTTTTGGGATGTTGTGTAAGGACTTGCGTGTCGCTGGATTTGTTGTCCATGCTCCAGTTCTTCAACTGAAACCGGTCCAGTTTATCTGTACATTCCGGCTGCAATATCCCGACTACAACGCTACGCTATGCTAAGGCTTGCAATCTACAAGGCAAATCCAGGTGGTGCATCATTTATTCTAGTGATAAGGGTAGGAGTAACCAAGTGTCCGCACCCCTATTTTCCGCACTTGCATTACCGGCCGGCCACTGCGAGCTCCTCGTGATGAGTTATATTAACCACCGACAAAGAAACACAACCCAGTGGCAAAACCAAGGTCCCCAGGCAAAAAGATACGCTTCTTGACAAGGACGAGATTCGAACTCGCGCGGTTTCCCATTACAGTTTCAAGTTGTTATTCGCAACCTAAATGTAACGCCTTAACCACTCGGCCACCTTGTCTTCTTCTTCTTGTTGGGGCAGGGCCCGGGAGCAGACGTTAGGAAGGGGCGGTGGACGGCGATGGGGATGGCGGTGCGATGGGGGATGGAAGAGAGTTCAGAGAACTCCGAAGGGGCTTGGTGGGGGTTTTCTCTTTCTGCTGTTCAAGGTGTAGGAATAAGGACAGCTGGTGGCAGCTGGCGGGGCCGGTAGCGCATTTGTCAGGTCAGACCGCTGGTGCAACTACTGGGTAACAAACGGCCAGGCGGGCCCATCGTCAACAAGGAGGCAACGGGGAAAAGAAAAATACATTTGTCATTTGCTGTTACCTGCCAGGCAGCGATGAATGGGACCATATAGCATAAGAATATTCCGATCATCAAAGAATTCTGGCACTTTACGCTGCTAAATTATCCGCCGACCGTTTCAGCAGTCTGCTCACCAACACCCTCACTAAAAACAGTACAAAAACACATCAGACAAGATGCAGTCCTCAGACCCAGGTAACTTTTTCGAGACCGAGTAAGTCCCAAAACCTACCGTTATCTTCGAGGACAGCCAGCTAACCACCTCCAGCGCCGAGCAAGCAACCCGCCAAAGACGCGCCAACAAAGCCGGCAACAAGTACGGCAGCCCCATCCAGCTGAAATCCAAAATCCTCGCCGCCGTAGTCGACCCCCGCGCGCCGTCCTCCGCCATCCTAGTAGCCGAATCCGCCGGCTCCGTCCGGCGCGTACTCCTCGACGTCAGCCCCCCTCCCCCCCTTTTCAACCTCCCAAATCTAACCACCCCCCAAGCAGACCGAAAGCCCCACCACCTCGTACCGCGGCCCCACCGCCCCGGTAAGCTGCCTGGCCATCGGCGGCGGCCCGGGCGGGGCCCTGACCGTCTTCGCCGGCAGCTGGGACAAGGCGGTGTGGTCGTGGGACCTGGCGACGCGGGCGGCGGGGCGGCGGTTTGTGGGGCACGCGGATTTCGTCAAGGCGGTGGTGTGCGCGCGCGTGGGCGGGCGGGACCTGGTGATCAGTGGCGGCGCGGACCGCAAGATCATTGTGTGGGACGCGGCGACGGGCGCGCGCCTGCACACGCTGACGGACCCCATCGTCAACATGATGAGCGTGCAGGACCTGGTGGTGGACCGGGAGGGCAGTGGGGAGGGCGAGGTGGTGCTCATCAGCGCGAGCAGTGATCCGCATATTCGGCGGTGGAGGGTGAGGCTGGACGGGTGGGAGCAGGTGGTCGAGGAGGTGCCTGATGTGCCGGGGACCGAGAGGAGGACGATTCTGGAGCACGAGACGACTGTGTATAAGCTGGTGCTGGATCAGGATGGGGATGAGGTGGATTTGTGGACGTCGAGTGGGGATGGGACTACCAAGTGTCTGTCACGGCTCAAGGGGTTTGCGTGCGAGGATACGTTCCAGCATGGCGACCATGTGCGCGCCGTCGCGGTTACGGATCAGTGGGTTATCACGGCCGGCAGGGATGAGGACTTGAAGTTCTGGGAGCGGACCGAGGGCAGGCTGTACTGCTCGCTTGTGGGCCACTTTGATGAGGTTACGGACCTGGTGGTCCTCCGCGGCGTGAATGGACCCAAGGAGCGGGTCTGCAGTGTTAGCATTGATGGCACGGTCAGGACGTGGCCGCTAGATAAGACATTGCTAGATGCTTTGGTCAAAGAGCAGGCAGCGAAGCCGGCCGAGGAAGAAGAGGAGCTGGTCAAGCAGGAGGGTGACGGCGACGGGTTGCTAACTGTTGATGAGGAGGCCGAACTGGATGCGCTCATGGAGGATAGCGATTGATACCATAAGCGCCCACCGCGTGCTAGATACCCACCCAATCCGCTCACTCGAGAACCCCCTTGGGTTTCTATACTGTGTTGCATGTGGTACAGTACGTATTATGGATTCGTTTCAGGAACCCGTCGGGTCAGCTGGTGTCACACACGTGTTTACCTCCAACGGCAACACGGTCACAGGAGCGTGTTTGTGAAGAACGAGAGTGCCATGCCGTCTCAATGCGGCTTCCCGCCCAGGTCGCCGGGAGCTGGCGTCAAGCAGGAGGTCTAGACTTTGGGTGTTCGCAGGGTTGGATCGGATGTGGAAAAATCACCAGGCTACGGCCGCGGGATGCTGACATATTCTATCGCGAAAAACAATCATGGGTCCCTCCGGCAGCTCCTCGGAGATGGCCGGGAAGATCAAGGGTTTGTCTAGCCACATCAAACGACATGGCGCTGGGGCGCTGACAGCCTCTTGGCGAGGTTTGGGGATCATCTCATGCACGCCTGAACCAAGGCCCGATTGAGTCTTCCCACCAGCTCGGAAGTTGGGATTCATCAGAAACCGCAGGAGAATCCAAGATCTTGGGTGCAGGTCCCGTGTTTTTCCTGCCCGCTTTGGAACACGTCGCCCCAAGCAGGACGCAGGGGAAAAGGCGGACAACCGCAGACACCCAGCCTCCTCCACACGACTTGTCGCCATCGGCAGGGCAACACGGAACAGGCACGAGGCGGGAGGGTGCGGTATCTGTCGTTCGTGTTGTCGTGTGTGGGCTTATCGCAAGCGGTAGTATCCCGCCCGTTTGAATATTAGAAAGTTCGAGATTGATTATATCTAATTGTGCAATAACGAGAGGCTCGAGCGGTCGTCAAAGGTCGACACCACGACCTCTACACGTGGCTCACACCTGGCTCGGTGTCCAGCTAGCGGTCAGGCAGCGGCAGTTGCGGGTTCCGTTCCAAAAATTGAAGATTGGCACTGTTCTCTTCTTCTTTTTTTGCTGGAGCAAACAGAGGTCAGACCCCCGAGCGGAGGGAGTCGAAGCTTGGTGCTCTCCGTCATTGGGTACCGTTGTGTGCTGTTCTTTGGAGGGGACGGTGGTAGGTACGTACCTATTTTTGCGTCCTGCAGGCGTGACCCCACCAGTGCTTGGCGAGGATGGGCGATCGACAGCACTAACAGTCACGACTAGCAGTGTGGAATTTGCCGTCCAGGTCCCCGGACAGCCCTGCGAGACGTCCCTAGCCCAATCGGCCAGTCAGAGCAGCGACGGCCGCTTGAGGCCCGCTTTTGATTTTCAACTTTGTTCCCGTTGAGCTCACACCCTTGACTCTCTATCAATGTCTCTCCGCCTCAGCAGCTTGGCCGGGAATCGGCACCAAGTCAGCATGACCGAGTTGCTTCATCAACTGCAGCGCCTGCTCCGTTTGCGATTCAACAACATGTAAAAAGGAGGAGAGCGCGCGGCCGTTCGTCTGCAGGCAGGGTTTGCTAGCTGCAGTGCAGGAACAAGGCTCCCGATAAAACTGTCGTCCGAGCACACTTGGGCAACCTCAACCCGCGCTCAACCCGCGCCGTACGCAGGAAATATGCAGCCCAAGGTCTGGCTCGACGGCTGTCGTGTGTTGACGAATATATTCCGAATTTTCTCGTCCGCGCCGGCTCAAAACGTACCATGCCCAATCAGTGGACAGTCGTTTCATGCTGCCATCCGGACCATGTTCCCGAACGTCGGGCCTCTTGGTCGGGGGATGGGCGTAAGGAGGGGAGGAAATGAATGCATGCATCCATCCTCGAGTGTCATTCTCTCGCTGTCGTGTGTCAATGAGCGTTTCCCGCCGTGTCTTTACCAACCACACCCACCCGCTGTCTTCTTTCTGTTTTTCTTTCTTTCTTTTCCTCTCAAGACATTCTGACAGCCAGCCCTCTGGTGTCTCTTGCCTCGAGCTAGCCTTCAGCCTCTGCTGATGAACCACCGGGGAAGCAGTGATCTCTCTGCCGCTTTTCGAGCTTCTAGCCTTCTTTTGACAAGCCACCCCCATCCTTTCTTGGGACTCGCTGCCAGGACCGGGGTCAGGCCTAGTGCTTCTTTCTTTTTCCCAAGCCCCCGTCGTTCACGACAAGCATTGTTCTCCGGGGCGCGCGCAGCTCGGGAAGCCACTGCGTTGCTGAGTTCCTTCGTTTGCCGCAGCCTGGGCTTTATTACTACGCCGGGGCCCTCCCAGTTATACATCCCCTCACCTCTGCTCCCTCGATGGTGGCGGGACCAGGCGTCTCTTCTCACCCGCACCGATTCCTACCTAGTCGGGGCCCCCTCAACACAATGGCGACCCCTCAGGCCTCACCCACATGCCGTGGGAAGATCGTGGCTCTCGAGGGTCCCTCAGAGCTGGTCTCGACCCAATTGCGCCTTCTTCCCGTCTCTCCACAGATCGTGATCCTCCCGAGTTTGCATCATTACCTATCAGACGAACACACAGAACCCCCCGCCAGCACACAGCAACTCATATACCGAGTTCACAAAGCCGCCCAAGCTCGCCACGCCGCAGCCATGGACTTCCTCCAGCAGTCAACCGCCGATACGAAACGCGTCGTCTTTCTTGACGGAGGAACAGTTGCGGCCCGTGTCATATGCCTCGAGGCTATTAACAAAGGCCAGGGCCACGGGGATCACGAAAAGGCGGAATCCATATTCGATGGCCTCGTGAGTAGAGGAGTTGCTGGTCTCCTGGGGGTCGAGCGACCAAGTACCACGGATACCACTACGTTGGTCGATGCCGAGGACGTGGCTAGTAGTGGTGTGGGTGGAGGAGTGAGCGAGCCTCAGGACAACAAAGAGACGGCCGGTGGTTCGAGAAAAAAGGGGGAAGATGCCGCAGACGACAACGCCGACAGCGCTGAAGACCCCATTATACGAGCTATGCGAGCTGCAGATGCCCTCGACAAGGAAACCGAGTCCCTGCAACCACCAGACCATGACTTGGAACTATCCGCGAGCTGGTTTAACAACTCCAAGATGTGGACGAGAAGGACCTCGAGCCTGCCATTCGTCGACCAGATTCGGAAACCAGGCTCAACAGGAGGGTCCCGCAACAAGGCCGAGAATGTGAAGCTTCCTCATTCGAGATTTGCGTTGAGAGTCTTCCCAACCCCCGAGGGCTCTCTTTCCAAGAGAGTCAAAGTTCCACCCCCTCTTGGTAAGCGCCCGCTGGCAACCAAGATCCCAACATCTGAGCTGAGCTG